CCACAAACCCTAAGGCTAACCTCACAGGTACCTACCTGACCCTAAAACTAACATAAACTCAATTCACACCTTGGTCCTAAACTATTATTGAAAAATTCATTTTGCAATTGTTTCCTAACGTCCAATGTGTGTAAAGCAAGTAGTGCTGGGCGGTATTCTGGTTTGTCCCGAAAACCGATTTCCATTTTTGTTATTTTCCAAATACTGTCATACAGATTAAAATAGCCTTAACACATTTGTAGCGTTACGTTGCGCCCGCTAGTAAAGTGTTCCATGGGGGCACTTCTCTGGGCAGCACCCTGCATGCAGGAACTAGCAGCACACAGGGAAAGCTAGAGTCATTGTGGGAGCAGCCTTCTCAGTACCTGGCAGCAGGTGATGATTGTGTCGCCTACGTTGGCATACAAAAAACAAATAACTCCCATTTTCACCATCGCATCATGTAGAACTCCCCTCTTCAGTGACGTGCAAAGATAGACTTCATGTTTGAAGTGAATTTGCCTGATAATGATCAACCCTCCTCCTTCACGACTGTACCTGCCTGCCCTCACTGAGGATGTGACGTAGGCCCAGAATGTGCCACTAATGTCTCCAACCAGRGAAGGAAGAAAAGACAGAGGTACAGGAACAGAAAAAAGTYAAGAAATRGTTTCTTTGCAGAAAGTAACTTCAGCTGACCGCAGTTTACTGATGGTTTATATTTTTCAACATCAGCCTGAGCTGTGATGGAAAGAAACAACCTTCCAATAATACAAATAATGGTTAAAAATACAGTGATATAAAGTTTTGGTCATACAGCACTATCTACAAGTGCAGTTTGTAGTGACAGATCAACATTTCAGACTCTCAACAAAATCTGCTGAGACCTGTATGTGGGATGTTTCCTACTAAAGGAGCTAACATGGTGGCAAGATGTGCTGCTGCTCATGGCTCATTCTTTGTGTTTATAGAGTGGCTTTGAAAGTGATCTGCAGGTTTGGGCTTAGGGCTAGGCAGATTCTGCTGCTTGGAGCTGTCTGTTTCCTGGGATGTTCTGACTACTGTTTCTTTTGTAATGAACTGATAAGAAATCATCAAGCTGGCACTTCCTGTCTCCCTTAGTTTTACCATTATAAGTACATTCACATGTTATCTCTGCTGTTGTATTTGCTCATGTTGCTTGCTCTGCTTAATTTCTCTTTATGAGTGTAGATCAGACTGCCTCTGCTTGAATATTTATAGGACATATGGCGTACCAGTTAGCTTTCAGGCAGACTGCTTCACTAGCCTGAAACTGCAAGAAATGTGGTTCCTGTAGTCTTTGTGTGCTCTTGTGTGATTCAATATAAATGTTTTCACTTTCTTTTAGGTAGATTAAAGTGATAAATGAGATTGAGTAGACAGCTACTGTCTGCTAGCCAATTTAATAATTAGCAGCAATTTACATTTTTTAACATATACACTTAGATACAACTATTGATCCCTTGGGAAGATTATCTCAGGGAAATTAAAATCCAGCAGCGTCATGTAAAAAGGGACAGTAAAAGCACACAGCATAAATAATGCAAATTAAAAATAATATACACACATGTGTTTAACAGTAAATAACCAGTTACTGACTATTTTAAGGTGGTTGTGGCATCTGCTGCTGCTTCTAATAGCCATCCATTATCCACTGCTTGTTCCAGAGTCAGGCCTCGGGGCAGCAGCTTGAGTAGGGAGGTCCAGACCTCTCTTTGCCCAGCTACCTCTTCCAGCTTCAAGTAGGGTTGGGCATAATCGTATCGTGTGCAATTAATCGTCAGAAAAACATTAACCGATTACTTTATGGCACTTGACGATTAATACGATTAATGCCACCAGGCAGACTGACTGGGGATTACTCCGGTCAGTCCTCTTAGTGCTCCTCTCTGCTTCAAATATGATAAACTTTAAAAATAAAGTTCTGTAATTTATTTATCTATCAACACAATTGATGTATAGCCTGAAGTCTGTAATTTTCACACAATTTGGAACATTTTTTTACAAAGAGCAAATCTTTCCCACTAAATTGGTCATGTGACTACAAAATAAGGGTGTCCAGGGACTCCAGGGGATTAATCATCAAATTAATTGTTATCGGCTAAATACACAATTAATCGGGATTAAGTTTTTTGTCAATATTGCCCAACCCTAGCTTCAAGGTGTTCCCAGGCCAGCCGAGAGACTATAGTCTCTCCAGCGTGTCCTGGGTCTTCCTCGGGTTCTCCTCCCTGTCAGACATGCCTGAAGCACCTCTAGGGAGGTGTCCAGGAGGCATCATTACCAGGTGCCCAAAGCACCTGAACGGGCTCCTTTCAATGTGGAGGAGCAACGGCTCTACTCTGAGTCTCTCCTGGATGACTGAACTTTCCAGCCTATCCCTAATGGAGAATCCAGCCATTACTTGCGATCTTGTTCTTTCAGTCACTACTCAAAATTCTTGAACGTATAGGTGAGAGGAGGAATGAAGACTGACGGGTAAACAGACAGCTTTACCTTACAGCTCATCTCCGTCTACCACAACAGACTGGTACAGAGTCCGCAACACTGTGGAATCCACACCAATCCATCTATCAATCTCACATAGGCTTGGGCGGTATGAAGGTATTTTGTTATACCGCAGTATCAAAATATGACGGTATAAAAAATTATGATGGTATGAATGACATGAGGTGAAGCGCATATGAAAGCTAAGACAGAAGATGCCCCCATGTTGCATTGCAACTTTTATTCTCTGATGAAAGCTAGTTTAGCATTTCCTTTGGAAATCAAGATCCCAGAGTCTGAGGTAAGAGAGGAGAGGCGTATAATCCATGTTGCTTGAAGTCCAGTGTAAAGTTTCCACAGTCAGTGATGGTTTGGGGTGCCATGTCATCTGCTGGTGTTGGTCCATTGTGTTTTCTGAGGTCCAGGGTCAACACAGCCGTCTACCAGGAAGTTTCAGAGCACTACATGCTTCCTGCAGCTGACCAACTTTATGGAGATGTAGATTTCATTTCCAACAGGACTTGGYACCTGCACACAGTGCCAAAGCTACCAGTACCTGGTTGAAGGACCATGGTATCCCTAGACTTCATTGGCCAGCAAACTCCCCTGACCTCAGCTCCATAGAAAATCTATGGAGTATTGTGAAGAGGAAGATGTGATACACCAGACCCAACAATTCAGAAGAGCTGAAGGCCACTATCAGAGCAAGCTGGGCTATCATAACACCTGAGCAGTGCTGCAGACATTTTTTTTGTATTGGTCTTAAGTGATATTCTAATTTTCTGAGATACTAAATTTTGGATTTTCATTAGTTGTCAGTTATAATCATCAAAATTAAAAGAAATAACATTTGAAATAA